TATTGTTCAGTTCATACCAACACATTTTATTCAATTCAGATACTATTTCAATAGTGCTCTTAAACTATTCTTAATCTAAGGCCAGATCATAACAACGCTCTTAGTTATTCTTAGTCTAAGGCCAGATCATAATAATGCTCTTAACTATTCTTAGTCTAAGGCCAAATCATAATAATGCTCTTAGCTATTCTTAGTCTAAGGCCAAATCATAATAATGCTCTTAGCTATTCTTAGTCTAAGGCCAAATCATAACTTCCATAACCAGATTCTTTTAAGGTAATTATTGATCAGACAGTTAAACTATCACTAGTTTAAGGCAAATGATTCGGACACTTAACTGTAGTAAGTTAAGGCAACAACAATATAGCGATTGATCAACATTAGATCGGGCATTCCCAAACAAGTGATCCTCTAGTTTTGTCTATGAATCCCATTTATGTGTTTTTATCTAATTCATCAAATGTTCATGTTTTCATAAGCATGTTCTAATACAAGATCTATTCTAGATGTCTTCTAGATAGCTTTAACATCAATTAACTAATAGGTATATCTTAGAGTTCTTCTAGATACCGTTTAACAATACAAATCGTTTAATAATAATCAATATATTCATTACTCTCATGGCTGAATCATCAATAATCATTTTGATCAGTTAGTTCATTATTCATGATCATCCATAATAACCATTCATCATAATCATTAATCATCATAACAATTGATAACAAATAGCGGTCTAGTTTTGAGTGTTAACACTCTAACTTACCGTCATGCATCACATAATGTTTTATATGCCTAAAACATCATTTTTATTATACAAAATCATATTTGTATTGTTCATAAATAATTGTTATCAAAAATAGGATTTTAGAGCATATTTTCAGGAATATATTTTCGTAGCAGGATCTGTAGTTGAGGAAAATAATTTAAAATAATCATTTAATTTATAAAAATTGATTTATATAATTTTAAATAATCCATTAATTCATAATAATTGATTTTTACAATTTAAATAATCAATTAATTCATTATAATCAATTTTTACAATTTAAATAATCAATTAATTAATTTTAATCAATTTTTACAATATAAATAATCGATTAATTCATAAAAAATCGATTTTTACAATTTAAACAATCCATTAATTCATAATAATCGATTTTTACAATTTAAATAATCAATTAATTCATAATAATCGATTTTTATAATTTAAATAATCAATTAATTAATTTTAATCGATTTTTACAATATAAATAATCGATTAATTCATAAAAAATCGATTTTTACAATTTAAATAATCCATTAATTCATAATAATCGATTTTTACAATTTAAATAATCAATTCATTCATAATAATCGATTTTTACAATATAAATAATCGATTAAATGGTACTGACTTCGAACCACTGATCTGAATAAAATTCTAATTGATTTTTATTAAGTAAGTAATCGATTTTCGGCCACTGTTCATCATCTTCTTCCTCGGGTCAGTTTTAACATTATCATTTTTTATCAACAAACTTCAATTTAATTATATAAAAATGTTCTCCAATGTTCACAGATCATTTTAGAGTCATTAATTTGTAATTTTAACAACAATTTAATTGTTTATGATTCTTGGTTCTTCAAACATGTCAAACACAAAACTCAACCAAACGACCGTTTATGAACGTAGAAACGATCTATACGAACATTCTAGTCACTAGATATATCTACGGGCTTACCTCGAAGGTAAATGAAGGTTTTGAATATTTTCCGGCGAAACTTCCGGCGA